AGGATATAGTTCTGTATTGTGTAATAGGAAAGAGTCCGGCTGTATGAAGCAAGATAGGAAATAAAGTGACTGCCATTGTATGGTTATGAGCAAACAAGTGGATTTGAAACGTCGCCCAACTAGTTATGTCATTTCCCCCTGTGTTATATCAAATAAGTTTTCTAAAATCATACATTAAGTGCAATATAATTCTCTTCATCCACTTAATGTTTTCCACAGGTACTCTATAGGCATCATTAAAAATCATGAAACTTTATGAGCAACCTTGATCTGCACATTACTGCTGCTGAAGTGAATTCCGGTAGTCAAGTAATTTGAAATCCTTTACAATTTCACATGATCTGTAGACAACATGTTGTCTAGTATTCAATACAGGCTGACCTTAGCATAGACCACTTCCCACATACTCACTAAATAGGAAGTCATATGGGGCAGCGTTCTGCAAAGCAAATCGACAGACATTTTTCTTCACGCCTAATGCACCAGCTTCTAAAAACTCATGTAAACTCATATTCATATTTTATGTGGTGAGGATCGATATCTTATATTTACCTTTGGCCTGAGTTATCCCCTTTGTTGTGTTCGTGAGCAACGTACCAGCTGCATAATAGGTTCGTTTAATTGCCTTCTGCAAACAACGCTTCACCAACTGAGCAAAGTTATCTCTCTTGAAAGAGATATATATAACTTTATATAAACCTTTTTAGAAACAGTTTCTGACATTGTTTTTCCTTTATTATCTTCTGAATACTTATTTTATAAACCTTTCCGAATACCCATTCGTCACTACTATCTTTTTAAACAATTTCTCTTCGTAGTCTAGTCTGCTTCTTGAACATATCATTCTTGCTGTATCGAACTATATTCTAACCAGTTCTACTTTGTATTGGACTGATTTGTACGAATTATCCGATCCTAATTTACTCGTTTTAAATTTACTACGGAAAAGAAATGTTTTCAGTTTTTAAAGGATCACCTCCTGAAAGAACATTATGAGTGCATTGGATTATCTGGAAAAGTTGAAGAGAAGAATATCTGAACATATGACCAGGTTGGAAATTTTTAAAGGATGCCTACGAATACATACATTTTCAAGTATCTTTTCATAAATCAATCGAAAATGAGTCTCAAATATGCTCGGAGTTGGATATTATTAAGGGATTATCCATTAACATCCTACAGAAGATCATTCACAGTCGCAATAGCCCACCTACGAATACCTTTGAATAAAAAACAGGATGTTACTGGGCTAGACCTCTTAAAGGACACTAGTTTTCTTGTAGCTGTAAAATACTTTGTTGGTGAGTTGTAGTAAATACGAAATACAGATCAAGGATTTTCCGCCGATTGCCTCAAATTATCCAACACTGACAACAATTTTGTAGTTGAAAATGTTAAGCCAAGGTACTGAATTTTAAAAAAATGTTTTTCTGCAGCTAATTTTGACATTTTGTTTCATAGATTAGCGGTAGTGACTCAAGATTTGTACAAATAATAACATAAACACCTCACACTTTGAGTGATGATATGGCATAGCCTGAATACTCCCAGTGTGAGTGAGTGTCACTTCAAAATAAGTAAAAACAAAGAGTTCCTGATGCAACAGGCCACATGTGGCAGCATTAAATCATGAAAATACTATTTACGTACTTAGCTATGAAGCTGAATGCCTAGATATGACTATAAAGTAACATTACAGCCACAGACTACCAGAAACCGTGAAGCTGTCCAAATAAATACGGTATGAAAGTTTTACAAATTCATAATTTAATATCTAAGTAATATATTACCTATGTCACTGCGTGAACATAGCAACGCTACAGTAAGCGTCACCGTTAGGGCATGCTGAAAACCCACTCCATACTTAGATTCATTTTAATAAAGTTAGCAGACTTGTAATTTGAATTTTTCGGGCCACTTGAACTTTTGTTCTTCTGCATGGCTGTTGTGTGAAACTTTAGGAATAAATACCTTCATTCTTTCATCATTCAACACTTGATTATATTTAATGACTCCAAACTTAAAATTATTCTAAGACAATGATTTACAAGTTGAGTCTTATGGGAAATCCATGATAATCTAGAAGCGATCTCCTCAAGCGCCTAGATTTTCATTTAGTAATATACAATTTAGATTATTTATATAATTTTGTTTAGAATTATTTAACCTTCCTGTCACTGTCTAATCTGAAGAAATTTTTATTCGATATTCAAAAAGAAGAATGCGTTCGCTGGTAAAACGCGCCTAGGTACACTATCCAGTCTGGCTAGCAAAGGGAGAACTAATAGTTCAGTAACAGAACATCTGTTGACAGGACATTAAGCTCCATTTGAGAAGTCCTTCAAAGTCATATACAGGACCTGATCAAATCTCTCAAAGGGAGTGAAATCAAGGCATCTGGGCATAGCTGAGGCCCTAGCCATCCAAAAGTTCAAGCCCACGCTATGTATTCAAAAGAAATACATAAAATCTTTGTCTTTACAGTGGCCATTATAAACAGTCAGTTCTTTAAATGATAATCCTGTTACCTTTCTTATCCAATCTTCCTGTTTATTTTGTTATGAATACTTTTTTAGTCGACAACTGCACAAAAAGTCAGTTTTCTTAATAATTATGATCCTATTCTATTTTTGTTTGATCTTCCTGTTTATTTTGTTATTACTGCATTTTAATCCCTATTTACAATTTTATTAATCTGACCTTTGACCAGAAATAGTTCTGTGACTTTCTCATTATAAATACACGAATGTACTGCCTAGTTGATGACTTCGTTGAAAAAGAAAATTTTCTTCTCTTCAACCGTCTCTTTGAAAATTCCTAAGACCTAATGTGTATATTCCGTGATTTGGTCAGTATTAGTTTTATTAAGTTTTTGCATTCCTAGTGGAACACATACTCAGGCTCTAAAGTTCAGTAGCAGTGTTGTCTTTAGCTTCACGCCTAACTTCATCCCTTTTCCGAACCTACTACTGTCTAGGTGATGTCAAGGTGTGAGTCGACCAGGAAGTGAATCCGTACCACTTGAGTGATTTGCGAGAATTCTACCACTGAGCCACCAACGCACCTGTATTACAATCAGATAAAGTCAAGTCAGTTTGAATTCGATAGATGAATTTTGCAGTGACTTTAGCCCTGACCATAATTTAAACGCCTGAAATATTGATAATCTCCAAGGAATTAATCTTGATCATCAGGTAGACAACTTTTACCCCCCTTTACGTAGCTCAGAAAAAAGTCACACTTCATAGAATGATGTTTTACCTGATTACCTCCAGTTATTTTTCGCATTAAACTTGCCTCAGATTGCACCTCTTTTTCAGCAAGACATTTCTTCTGTATATGTAGTCTGAAACCTTAGTTACTTCAACCGATGAAGCTCCACAACTTCAGAAATTAACTTCTTCTTTTTGCCTTACACTTCATGCTCAACCTTTCGATTACTTATTATATAGCTTCACTTAAAATCCCTCCTCAAAAATCACTACTAATACAGAGATTCAAAGGAATATTTACAGATGATAGTAGTATTATGATTTAGTACATCAGTTCAACTTCGATTTTGTACCTCTTACTAAAACCAATTTCACTTATTGGTTTCGTCGAACACTGAGAGAGAGTCAAGGTATATTACATATTGTTCCTTCTATTATTTCACGAATAGTCTTACACAAGATGACATCTTTGATTTTGAGGATAGTTGAAAAAGACAACAAAGGTAGATCTTAGCTACATACTGAAATAGACCATACTCAAACATTATTTTTGTTTCCTTGTATTCTCAGTGAAACGCAGAGCCATAACCTTTGGACTTTCAGCAGCATTAGTGCTTTTTTCGTGGGGCGCAGTTACTAGCCTCCTATAATTCTAGGCTAGCTACCAACTAGACCCAGTGTAGGAGTATGCCGGCTGGGAATTGAACCACTGAACCCTTAGTTATAATTGAGTTAACGGAATCATCGAAAATGACAGTTCATTTTTTACCCTCATCTTACTTGCTATCACTATGTTTATTTTTGTGAAATAAGCAGATTATATATCCTAGATTTAAAAGAACACATGAGCACACATATACATGTATATTCAGTTTATTACTCATAAATTTCTTTTATTTCCCACCTTATCCTTCATTTATTTTATATTCAACCTGAAATTAATAATGAAACAAATATCTTCACACTGTTTTGAAAATTTATATTTATTTAATTCCACTTTCACTTGTTGTTCTTAATATTTTTACTTTTACCTATATCACTTAACCATTGAATATTGAACAGTGTTTTAATTAGGTTGACCTTAGCCTTCGTGTGTAGTTTTTAAAGCTGTATTGACAAAGTGAATATTTTATGGTTTACAAAAAAGTATATTACCATTTAGCTTTATGCATGTAACATTATTATAACCACTGATAAGTGACTATGACCCAGGAAATTTAAAACAACCTTGTTATTTTATTGCCGTTTTTCGCAAAAAGAAATTACATGTAACAGATAATAAAATTAAGTATCCACATATTTTTTGTGTACACGCAAATATGGTTATTAACATTACTAACTAGAACACTTAAAACTACACTGAAAAAGCCTCCTGTATTGTATTGCATTATACAAATAAACAAAATGAATTAATATTATTTTGGAGGCCGAAAAGCTCAGAGATAACATCTCTCTTAGCAGCATTGAGTGGTGTATGTGTGAATTTCGTAGGGTACAACTGTTTCTCTGCGGCTACATATACACATATAGTTTACTTCGACGATTCAGTGTTGGGATTCTCACCTACTATACACTTGGTCCGGGTTTGATTCCCTACAGACTGACTGCATAACCTCGTTTGGCTAGGAGTTAGTCCGGTAAGGAACGAAGGTTAATTGTGTGTCTAGCAACCCCATCTAGCCCTACTGAAACTTCAAAGCTTAAAGCCTCAGGTTCCATTCAGAACACAAATGGATAAAAAATCAAAGTATCATTATGATAATATTGATTATTTTCACAAAAACTTACTTTAATAAATATTGATTCATCTACATTGGCCTCTTGAAATATAGTAGCAAATTGAAATATTGGACAGAAACGATTCTCTGGATCAGTTTTATTATATAAGCATGTACGAAGGAATTTTTTCGATGCCCAATTTTGAATATTTCGTCTTAAAGAATGTACAAGCACAGAAAAAGAAACAGAAATCAATGCGAATTGAAACAGATATAAGTTATGCTTCATGCCTATCTATTATAATAATAATAATCATTCTTATGAGGGTGATTTGTACATAAAGACTAATGGAGGATAGAAAGAATCAATTGACAGTTGGTTTCCCTTTCTAGACAAAACTATATTCAAACTCTAAAGCCTTTAACCTATTATTAGAGTCCTATCCAATATCACAACTTCCTAGCAGTGTTAGCTTTACCATTGGTTTTGTTCTGGCAAAGTCAGATTTCAGCCTTTCTCTGGTTGATAAATTACAGATTGATAAAAATTTCAATAGAATGAGCGGAAAACGAATCTATGAAATCTTTATATAGTATAGGTATTCTGTTCTGTTCAATGTTCTGGTTTTCTTTGACAGACATCATTTAATCTGGAAGTTTTGTTTGTTGAAGCTTGTTATTAGTAAGGTTTGTCTGCCACCTTGGAATTCAGGCCATTTTAAACCAAAAAATCTTCCTAAGTCTATGGTGCATCATTTTGTTTGACGTCCTCACCTGAAGAATATGATTCTCTTTTTGCAACAGGAGAGGAGAAGATATTTAGTAACGAACCTTAATTAAGGAAAAACACATCATATTTATACATTCATAGCCACATTAAAGTTCAGCTAGATCAGAGGATACTAAGTTCTTCTGATTGGTTGGCAAATGACCAAAGGTTAAACATGTAGTCCATTGAGGTTATTTACGCCTTATAATCCAGAATTGGAGAATAAACGCTTCTACCTCTGCAGCCATTGACTCAAAACGTTGACTTCAGTTCTTACCACTTCCAGTCTTACTGCATCATGCTTTATGTATAGTGTAGGTCGCTTAACACTTTGTCTTGTCTTTGTGACATTTCGACGCAACTTCCTGTCTGTTGGCAGCTGGCAGTGGAATCTAGGAAGAAACTGATCAAATTTGCCTTTTGGCATATGGAGTGATTTAACAAATAGCTTAATATTACCAGTATTTCTCATTTTCGATTTGCTTGTTTAGTGTTGATTACCAGTGGAATACATGACTCATGTTTTGTCCTATTGGACACTCTTCAGTGGAGTTTACCTGTAATCTAGTGAGTAATAGTATTTCCATGGCCAGAGTCTTATTCGTTGCGCAATTAAACTATGAACTTCTTCATGTGGTTATTTCAGCTGATATTTCTCAACTAAATTCATCAGCTTGATTTAGATACCACCACTCACATGGATGGGCGTAAATCCAGCTTGCTTATTCCAAGCAGGACAAAGCGCGTTTCCTGGGTTCCATTGATGACCAAATCCAAGAAGGTAACTTGAAACTGGAAATCATAGTAGTATCGAGTCACTTATTTAAAGAGCCCATATGCTAAGATGACATTTAATTACTTGCGTTCAGAAATATCAACGGATAATCACAAGTAAAAACAAGTATTTTTACGCTAGTTTGGGATTTTTCAGCAATACGCAACTATGACCGAGCACAGGAACCATATTCTATGAGGCCATCCTTGTTGATCATTCAGTCACTTGGTTCAGGATCGAATGGTCAGTCAATTCTAACTTCAAATCCCTGAAAACTAACTCTTGAAAATTAATCTGTTGCTCGCTAGTGACTGGTTAGTGGACGAAGTCGCCTGAGGTTCTGGTGAGGAGTCATAACTAGGTGGAGTCCTCCAGGCCGTTGACTGGCCGTCTCTCTAAAATCGTGAAATGACAAAAGTCAGAATTTGTGGGCCACTGGCTTCTGGCCCAAAGGGCTGTATGATCAACGAACTTGGCCTTGTAAGCTGAAGATCCTCCATTTGCCCCCTGCTGGGGTCATCGGGGCGTACTGCCGAGGATTCCAAAATCAAGATGAAACACTTGTCCATTACTTCCTAGTTTTCAGCGGTTCTTGAACTGACATCAAATCACGGCAAACTTGAAACAAATAATTTTTATACAGCTTCTATGAAATATTGAATGTAACTAGAATACTTATAAGATGACCGTGAACTACACTTCTGGATATTTTGAACAGCAACTAAAGTCTTTCTGCTTTGTTGTGTGATTTACAGCGTAGGTGAATACTTGGAACAGAGTTCAATCAGCTGTGAATTTATTGACAGATGGTATTACCAAGGGTGATTTATTTGCAAAGGTAGACCGATGTGGAATAATATGAGATTTCAGATGGCATTTTCGAACAAACTAAGAGTGCATGGATAAATGAGAAATATTTCACCGGTGAGTAGCGAAAATAATTTTAAATCACTCCAGACATGTAGATGGTGAACATATTCTGCATCACACTTGCCACTGTCAACGGCCATCTTTACTTGGCATCAGTGAAATATTATATATGAAAGCATCTAATAGTCTGTGATTCAGTATTATTATTGTAGAGTGCTTTCCAACCACGCATGTGGTCCGAGTTCGGTTCCTAGTCACCATATTACTCAACTTCACCTAGCCGGTAGTAAGCCCAGAACGAAGATTAAATTTCCAGCGTGATGTCAGCACCCTCATTCTTAAAAACAATATCGTGGCTACTGAAATTTCAGAGCTCAAGCATGCAGCCTTCGGAAAGCAATAAAACGCAGAAACCTAGTCTTAATAGAAGAGAAAATACTCAAATCTATCACACAAAGGATATTCAATAAAAAAGGCATACTGCAAACAATTTTAGAGCACGTAACATAAATATTTATTTGAGCAGAATCAAATACTAACTCTGTTCTTCATCAAATGCTTTATTTCACTTATCATAACAATTTAAACAAACAAAAGAGAACTTACCGATGAATACCAAATTTCTCAAAATTTATATCATTTTTAATAAGCAGTGTATAATTATAGACCATTGGAAATAAGTATGATCCTTTACCAAGTGGTAAGGTATCATTTTCTAAAGGACACCAAGAGTATATTTCACATGATCCTTTATCACTTCCCGGCTCAACGATACACTTTCCTGTGTGGGCTCCTGGCAGAAAATAAGTAATCGAGAGTATAAAAATGCAGTTAAAATGTACGTTTTTGCTTTATAGCACTACGAATTAAAACAGGTAGCAGGATTAATATGTAATACTATATACTGCCGACTGACTAAGGTGAACAGTTGGATACTATTTACATCAACCAGTAATGCTTGCTAGCCAGATCTAAGTGGCCTAAATGGCAGACGGGCGTTTCGCCTTTTTTCAGCCGGGCTTTTCAGCGGTTTGGCCTGGTTTGATTCAGCTCAAAGAACCAAATCAGTGGTTAAGCATGAAGCAAACTGATCAGTCATTAGGCATGTTGTGGAATTTTTCTAATGAATGATAGAGCAGATAGCCAAGTCTCATGAAAGTTTCGGAATTAACTCACATAAACCTTGGTTGCACAAACGGATTGCGGCGATCCAATATATTTTAAAAGAGTAATACCGTTAAGTGGAGTCGGTCTCTAACTAATGTAGCGTATAACTATAGCACAGTGGGAAAACGTCACCTGAATGGACATAAATACTTTACTTGTTAGTCCTATTTTTTAAAAATTCTTTTGGTTTTTTAGTGGAACATGGGGCTTGGAGGTATGAAGTCTCAGTAGTGGTGGTGTTATTTTCACGCCCAACCTTTCCTCTTTACCAGGCTTTTTACCGGTTGAGATGTTTGGTTGTGAATCGACAAGGAACTGAATCCGAACCTCTGAGTTAGTTGGATTGAATCAGTGAAGCACAAATTCGATCACAGATATGCTTTGTTTTATTGCAGATAGAGATAAGTGAGTTTGTTAGCCAACATACTTTAGTCAAAGTTTTGTAGACTGAACATTCCTCATCTAAATTTAATTTTTTTTCTCTTTAGGTTCTCACTTATTCCACTTGTAAAAGAATGAAGAGACTTAGCAGTCTTTGAATCTTCTCACTCTCTCCGACTAGACTAATTAATCGGTTTAAAATATACCATAAAATGCAATGTCCCGAATACTATATTTCGATTCTCCACTATATAGAATATCTGGTGTTTCACTCAATGAAAGTTGGTGACTATGCGAAGAGACCTTTGTAAACACAGTCAAATGATCAGAGAGCATTCTGAACGGAAAAATTAACTCACAGATTATCTACACAGATTTCTTCAAACGGTCTTTAAATATAAGTTCGACCATGTATTTTTCTTAGCCTTAAGAGGACACTATTTGCTTTTAAGCTTTTAAGCTGATGATTTAGTGAGAAATAACGAAGAAAGGTAATTTTTATTTCCTGAAATCTTGATTTCATTTTGATCAGCTTCTACTAGTTAAAGACGGATATTTTAGTCTAATACTTTTAGCAGATATATGATATTTACGAGTGCCTTATTCAATGTAATTTGCTCCACATTAATGTGTACACTGCCACACTGCATTGTCAGTTGATCAGTAATATTTATATCAAAATCATATGCAATCAGGTGTTTATTTATGGAGTTGAATACTTCACATCCTTTAGACTGGCAATAAAAGCAGACATAAAAAGATCTACGGAGTGAACATTATATACTTTTTCAATCCTAAGTTTTTACCTTTGCCAAAAACTGAAACATCCTACTAAGAAAGAACTGAGTGTGAGTCTACCCAACAACTTGTAAACATTTCTGGTAACTACAGAAGGTAAATGGGTGAGTCAAATTAGTGACTGGTGTTTTTTTAATTTGTTTAAATACTTTTAAGGATCTATGATTTAAAATCAGAGACCTCCATGCACAGCAATTTTTATTCAACTATATGAGACCTATAAAGATTATCAAGTAATTCCCTCCTGCTGTTCTGCAAAATTTTGCTGAGGATAAAATATATAATTACCTTATAGTCGAAATAGTTTGTGCCTAGAATTGCTATCTTCATCGATCACTTCTTTCTATACTTCTGGGAGAGAATCTAATGTAAAGATCAGCCACAGTCAAGAAGCAATCAAGCTTTTCAAATCTTTTGAACAAACATAACTCTTTTTTTCTTTCTATTAAATAAGTACAGTTATTTACAAGTACAACTGTATAAACAGTGTATAATCATCTTTCAGCCAGACACTTTTTAACTTATACAACTATGCCGTAATTTGACCTTAAACGTTGTAAGTGATTCAACTGCTGATCCTAAAACAGCACTGTTTAACAATTACATGTTAGTCTCAGTAATGAGTTCACTTTATAACTGTGTCAGAGTGAGGTAAAAATTACAAGTTTCTTCTATGTACTTAATAACTGAGAGTCAAGCTAGTAACTTATAACAAAGGTGTTTTGCCTGACGAAGATAGAGTTAGAGAACGCCTTTAATCCTGTTCTAGATTATCATGTTAACCTCAGGGACCGTTAACTGAATTAAACAAATCCTATTAAGTTTGCTAAACACCACTTTCGATTTGTCATTATTAATCCAAAGTAGATCAGACTTATGTATATATAATACTCAGCATTTAATGACACGGTAGAACACCAAAGTACGATAACACTGTGTCATGATCACTAGATAAACTGCTTAATCCTCTTGCTTTATAGACTGGGGTGAGTTACTGTATTACACACTAAGTAAGAATCAAAAACCAAGGTTGGGCAGCCAAAACTCTACTCATAAAGTAAGAAAGCAAGGCTAAACTTGCTAAATGTACTACAGCAAATAGAATTGTCTGCTGAATAATTTTTTAGACAACTAGATAAATGATTAAAATATATGGGATCTATGAATTGCTTACAAATTTTCAGTAAACTTTTATAACACTTCAATATGAAATTTTAGTCCAAATATTTCAGAAATACTTATTGTTAGGCATTATATCAGACATAATTATTTTCTTTTAATATCTGTATGCGTTTTTGAAGATGGGTCCATTTATGATCACATCTCAATGTTGTCAACCATATATATAAAAGTTTCACTTATTGAAATGTCTGGAAAATAATGTTTCCCTAGATTAATGTTGGAATCAATGAAATTCTTGAAGCCTCGTCTGCCAGTCAAAAACAACCATTGATGCAAAACGTGTTCCGGACATCGTATAACGATAAAATTTAAACCAATACGTTCTCAATATTGCATATGTGGTTGTACTGTGTGGGGATGAAATTACACTGCAAACCAAAAGATAAGCTTATAATTCTGTAAACACTTTAAAATCAATGAGTTTTAAATTGTGAACTCACCATTTCCAAGATGTGTAATATAGTACGGCTGACAATCAGCATCTGTACGACAATCTGCTGCCTTTACCGAAGGACTCTAGACATATGAAAAGGTTACGAAATTGGAAAACCTCCGCGCATTTGGAAAGAGACTGTCTTTCAGTTTTAATTATGTTGGTAATCACAAACAAAGCATTATTTTCTAGTGGTGGAACAATATAATCTGCTACATCCCAGCTGCGTCTTCCAATACCCGGAATGTGTGGAAGGTTCGTAAATCCAATGCCTTTCACTTTAGTTGTCACTGCACTTTTGGCAACGTCATTTTCTTGATAACCTTTTTCATAAATCATAACCCAGCTATGAATATGCATATGAGGCGGAAATAATTAGTAATTACCAGACGACATATATGAGGATAACTAGTTGTAGAAGCCTTTGGGTAACACCAATTTTAATATTTGAGATCTGCACTAATTTTGGTGTTTCATATTCAAAAAGAACTGCTATCCCCTTAACCATTTGTACAATAGCGTCTACATATGTCGAGGTTTGAAAGTTCTCAAATTGTTACGTTTGTGTAGGTCACAAACTTGCATCATTTAAAGTTTCAGTTTTCAAAATTAAAACTGCAGGTGACGAACAAAGCTCTCTGTGCTGATTCTCAAAGAAAAATAAGCTTTTTAATAATCAGAAGACCTTACAAGTGTCCGTTAAGAATCCAGTTTCCAGTATCGCTTATTGCGAGCTGGCTGGCTTCTTAGTTGTGAGGTAAAGGTTCCTGGTCTTTGGTAAACTTCTGCGTGGTCACTCTCACCACTCGACCGTCGTAGCTTTGGTTGTCTCCAAACGGAGTGGTGCTGAGACTAATTATTTATAGTTTGTAGTATGCGATGAGTTAAGGCCATGCCGCTATTGTGAATTGATTGGCCATTTTCACCAGTAAGTCGTCCGATGTAATCGGTAAAAGAGAAGAGATAATAATAACACGTATAATTAGTGCAGATTATGTAGACTAGAAAAAGAAAAAGAAAGTAAAAACAGACAGCTAATGAAATTTAAAACCGATATATATACACATGTATATGTATAATGTGCACAGTGCCTTCGTGTTGCTGCGAAATACAAATAATTACAAGAACTCGCTTCATAAGATCTGTTCCCAGCTGCTTATGTCTTGCATTATTGATTCTGCCGCTTCACACTAGTAAAGGAGAATAGGTATCTGGTTATTATGATTTGTAACAGGATTGGAATTGGCATCCTGGCGGTATTTGTTGGACCGTTCCAACAGATTAATGTTTTTGATGTTGTTGTGTTCTCTGAGCTGGATAGTTAATTTGCGAAGCTTTCATCACCCTACTGGGTGACATCTTCAGCGCATACTTCAATTTGAAGTCAAATTGAAGTATGCGCTGAAGATGTCACCCAGTAGGGTGATGAAAGCTTCGCAAATTAACTATCCAGCTCAGAGAACACAACAACATCAAAATCATCCACCTGAGCTACAAATCTTCTCTATCATATCTAGATTAATGTTTAATATCCTAGTCTCCTTAATATTAGTGCAGTTGCTTAGCGGGTGGCTGCATGTGTGGACTTCCTCTCTACGTTAATAAGCACCGTGGTAGAAAGGCATCCCATGTTGCTGAGTTGATTGCTGGAAACTCTATGAAGAAAGTAGATTACGTCGCTTCTGCAGGATTAGGCAGCTTAGAGGAGAATGCTTTAAGTTCCCAGCTGTTGTCGACCAGTAATTCATATGGCCTTATCTGATACGTCTACCATTATTGCAAGAGAAGCATCTGAACCAGAATTTTTCAGTGTTATGGCTCCCACCAACGCTTCTCTGTAATCCCAACAAGAGCACTAGTCAGTATGATGTTTCTTTGCAACTATGCGCGACGATGAAGCACCGTGACTCTCTGACGTCCGAATAGTCCCCCACTGAAGCACGTAACCACATTCCGCTGTCGCTACTTTTAGCTCGTCTGAAGCCAATCTCCTTGGTGAAGAAAATTCAGGGGGGCAATGTGAGCGTATAATAATATATGTATTCTTGTTTGTGTAGGAACATCACAATTGTAGAGGCATGGAAAAGTACTATTTAAATTGCATGAATTTGGTTTATGGTGGATTTACATGGTTGCTGTCCTATTGACTTTAGTTTGTGGGAACGATCTGTTAACTAGTCGTTCAATGGAGAATATTTAGAGATATGTGAATATTGTCTTAGTACAAACAAAAAATCAAGTCTGTGGGGGACAGATTACAAAAATTCGAGAAAAAAATAAAGCTTGAAGTCAGTTCTCCCATGTAACTTTGCTGTGAACGGTTCCGAATCTCATTCTTGATTTAAAGTCGAATCGGGTGTCATTTCAGAATAATTAGTATATTTGTATTATTTTTTCAAAGCTGACATCCTAGGTAACATCAGAGGTGAGTGGTTCTCCAGTCAGACGAACCCTGGCAAGAGCCGGGCAGATTTGTTCATTGCAATAGTCACCCATTATCGCCATTCGTAACTGAATGGTATTCCGTGAGCGTAAGTTCATTAAGATGTAGAAAACTGTTTGGAACCAGTTGCATCTTCATTTTAAGTCATATATACCTCTCGGACAGATTGTTATTCAGCGTCCCGATATGTTGATATGGGAGCAATTCGGAATATTGAGTTATTTTGAGCCAACATTTTGAAGGATTACGTGGTATGTGTAAGTAAGTCGCTTCGAGTACTGTCCTACTGTGGGTCTGTGAGACTACAAGGCAAACCGAAGAGGAGCGACGAGCAGCAAAGTACCAGAAAAAAGTATGTGGTTACAAACGGAACTTTAATGTTTGTATATAAACATATTTATATTTATTGTATATCGCTGTTTGGCAAGCACATTGAAATCCTCTTAGTCATTTCATGCATCCATGAGACTAGTCTCTTAGTCATTTATGCAGGGTAATTAGGGAAGTTTTACTCGTTCTCTAGACATCATGGGGACTCAGTAATGGGTTTGCTCTAGAAGGAAATAGTTTTTTCATGTTATCAGTTGAATGAAACAGCCTGTACAGAGAGACAGACTAAAGTCTACAACAGACGTGCAGGTTCTGATTTCTGGGGTGAACTGTTCCATGTTACACAACGTATGACCGTGCAGAAGCTTTCGTAAGGGGAAGATTAAGAGGTTTTATTGTTACTGTGCATCTTCAGCAAGGCAGATCGTAACAACATTGTATGTCTTTGCCATTTGAGAATGACATTTAATGTAGGACCTTAAAGAAGAATATTAGGTTTATAGTAAGTCGTCTAGTCCAAGTTTGTTAAATATTCAGAGTCACTTACCGTGAAGTGTAGTCTTTCTCACAATCATACCCAAGTAGTTTTGACTTTAAATATGGCTGGACACCTTTCATTCTCAGCCTTTCACATATATGAGTACTGCTAGTGACAAATGGACACTATTCTAGTAATGGCGTTACACTTGTTTGTAAAGAATGAGCTTGGCTTCATTGTCGTGAAATTTCCTGAGTATGCATCCCAAGAGCATCCTCGGCTTTCATTCCTCTATTACACTGGCTCAGAAAATGTTAGGTCACTAGAGTACCTCAGGCCAAGTCAAAAACACTACGGAGTCTTGGCCGGTTGGCAGATGAAAGCATTAATTTTATATTGATTGAGGGTGCACTGGAACAGGTTCGGCCTCACTTGTTGAGATTGAATTGTGGCTTCTATAAAGATGACCAGGAAGTCACTCTATCTAGTCCATTATGCACAATATTCTGAAAGCAAACTGGGTCATCACACTGGGATGTATAAGCCGCTTTCAGGCGGTCTGCGAAGATGAACGGTTTACCATGTGAGAATCGAGTGCATACATCGGTGACACAAAGTGTAAATAGGAGGGACCCTAAAACGCCACCTTGAACTACACCACAAGTGAGTGGGTTAGGTTTGGAAGTCACAGACCGAAGTTTAACTACTTGGACCCTTTGTTAAGGAACAACCTAAGCCATCTCATTAGTGTGTCAGGTATTCCTAAGGGATTCAGCTTAGGTAACAAAAGTCAATGGTCAACGCGGTAAAATGCTTTAGAAATGACAAAGTAGAAATAGTATAAAAATAATAATTTATATCTCGTTTAGACGGGTAAGTTTACAAGAAGTGCATGCCATTTCTACAGGTACAATCAGTTATGCTGTAAATTGCAATCGTGTAGTATCACAAATTGGCACTTTTTCAAAAGTATAAACTGTTGGGTCTTAGTACAAGCAATCAGAACGGGTTTGTATAAGTGTAAACCCTTCACTAAGGTCACCATCAAGTTTGAGCGCCAACCCAAACTGCTTTACGTTTCCTGCTGATGGTTATTGTAAACCCATGAACTGCCTATATTTGGGTAAATGCTATGCCCCCACTTGATAAAATGGCATTTCAGGAAGAGGAGAAGTGCGATAATTGATTACACATCACTGAAAGTTTGTTTACAAGATATTTACGATGGGAACCTATGGAGTCCTTGGAATTATAGTACACATTTGCATCGTTTTATGCTTGGCACCTTGGTCTTACCATGGAAACTATGACGTTTTCGATAAAAATATAGCATTGTTCAAACAAAAGTTAGGCGCCTTTTCACCAAAGCAGCCAGACACTGAGGGATCAAAGAATACAAATAAAAGAGTAAGTCAGCTTTGTCAAAGGCTAAAGTAGTTTGGAAAAAATAGAGTTTATTAATGCGTAAGCGAAAAGATCATCGTGAGGTGGATAATTGGTATTTCAGTGAGAAGTGAATTCGAATATCTCAAAGATTAGAAGCTGTAGGATATGCTGACTTGGAAGATGCCCCACGAATTTCTGTAGGGCCTATTGGGTAGTGTTTTGACAAGAAGATAAGCAAGTTTATGGCTGTTAGGAGCAAAAGCATTAAAAAATTTTAGACCTGCACAACCCTTATTATCGCCTGTCAAGGCTACTGGCCTCAAAATTAAAGAAATCTAGGTGACAGGTTAAATGTGGTCGGAATTTCAGGAATGCATGCAACATCTCAGCCTATCACATGTTTGAGCATGTTATCTTTAACAAGTCTCTCCATAATTCTAGACTCTGTAGGCTTGATATTAATTGACCTGTAGCTGTTGACTTCTGTTTTCGAGCCGCATTTGTGTTCAGATGTAATAGATGTCTTTTTCAGTATATCCGGGTGGGTTTCAGTTTCCAATATCATTGTGAAGATTTTACGCAGTAATAATAATAATAATATATTTCCTATCAATGTAGGACACACCAGTTGTACAGGCATGGATAAGTGTTATTTAAATTACATGAATTTGATTTATAGTGAAATTACATGGTTGCTGTCCTCTCTGATATCAGTTAGTGAGCACATTCTGATAGTTAGTCGTTCAATGGAGCACATAAAGAAATATAGAAATATTGTCTTCGCATTAACAAAAAAAACCCAAGTACGTGTCGGATAAATTACAAATATTTGGGAAAAAATAAAGCTTGAAGTCAATTCCTCCATATAACT